GGGGTGATTAGACAAGGTAAGACCACTGAAGTGCTTCACACATTGCCTGTGATGCCAAAGTGCCAAACGCGATCACTTTACTACAAAGCCAGGTCCGGAGTTGACTTTAAGTGGTCCCTGTGGTGTGAGTAGAATTGAACACTGGAGATGCCCGGGTGTACTTTGCAGTAAAGCCAGCAGGTGGCGACATTGGCCACAGTTTTCACTGCAGGACTCTGCCTGACACACTCTCTCTCTCTCTCTCTCTCTTTCTCACCCCTCCCTCTCTCTCCCTCTCACCTCTCGCCCCTCTCTCTCTCCCAGACCAGTAAGAGTTTCAGTTCCTGTGTACTGAACCTCCACGATTATCCTTATGCTTTACAAAACGTGGGTTTTAGTAAATTACTCCAGTCATTTGGGTAACTGAGTGGCCTCACCTACAAGTCAGGTGCCAGAGACCCTGTACTGTTGAGCTTCCTGAAGTCGCAAGTACCAGGTAGCTGACTAGGGGGTTTCATACAGCCAGGGGTGTGGACTGAAGGTTGGGGCAGTGGGGTGGGCTCAGGGGACACGTGGTTTGCATCTCTGACCACCACTGTGATCCTGGCCAAGGCTGCCTCACGTGAGAGGGCAGTTCCAGAACTAACTGGGGTGGCGGGAGGGGGAATAATTGTGGGACAAACAAGCCTGAAGGTCTAGTAAGGAATCCAGGACCCCAGATGGATGGAATACCCAGAAACAGCCAAGACAGGTGGTGACAGATCAGGAAGCCAATGTGTTCAGGAACAGCAGGATCTACAGTTAGTCAAGGGAGGAGTAACTTCATCATTAGCCACTCAGTTCCCTGGTCCAGAGGAATGATATCTTCACAATAATGACTAGTCTATATCTATAGTGTTAAATTCTAACTCTTGTTGTTATGTGCCATTGAGTCATCTGGGACTCATAGCGACCCTATATACAGCAGACCTAAAATCTGCTCTGTCCTGTGCCAATCTTATCTTCTCTGACACACCTACCCCCATTACCCCAGCAACTGAATCAATCCTTCTCATCCAGGGTCTTCCTCTCTTGTGCTGTCCCTCCACCCTTCCCAAGCATGACATCCCTCTCCAAGGACTGATCCCGCCTTGCAACATGCCCAAAGTAAGTCAGACAAAGCTTCAGAATCCTTGCATCCAGGGAGCAGTCTGGTCTACAGGATGAACCTGTTTGTTTTCTTAGCAGTCCATGGTATATTCAATACTCTTCTCTAGCACCACAACTCAAAAGCATCAATTCTCCTGTTATCCCTAGTCATTGTCTAGCTTTCTGACACATAGCAAGTAATTGCAAAGACCATGGCCTGTATCAGGCGCACCTTAGTCTCCAAACTGATGTTGTTGCTCTTCGGTACTCTGGAGAGGTTTCTGATAGCAGACATTCCCCATGCAATTCATCATTTAATTTCCTGGCTGCTGGTAGCAAGAGTGTTGATTGTGGAGACAAGCAAACTAAAGCTGTTAACAATCTCAGTCTCTTCACCATCTTACCGTGATGCTGCCAGTCACCCTGAGGTGAGAGTCTGTTTTCTTGATGTGAAGATTGGTGTACTCTGCTGTAGTTTAAAAATGGGCCACAAGGTGGCATCAATTCCAAACATTGGTTTAACCCCTTAAGGCACTTGTGGGAACACATTGAGAGCTTGATTTATGTAACCGTGTCCTGAGCAGAGACGCCCCAGATGGAGATAGCATTATGAGCTCAAGCACTTGCCCTGAGAAGCACTTGAACTGTATTTTATTTCCCATTGTCTTTACAGCATTTAGGGAGCTCTAGCAGGCCTAATCCTTTCTAATGTAAGCCTGACTCAGGCCCTGGTCTTTTCAGTCACTTGCTACGCATCTGAGAGCTGGACAACAAATAAGAATGATGACAGAAAAGGAACTGATGCCTTTGGCTTGTGGTGTTGGAGAAGAGGACTGTCTATTCCATGGACTGCCAAAAGAACAAGCAGACATGTCCTGGAAAAAGTGCAGCCAGAAGGCTTTTTGGAGGCAAGGATGGTGAAGCTTCATCTCCCATCCTTTGAGCCTGTGGCTAGGAGCGAATATTCCTCGGAGAGGGACATCATCGTGCTTGGGAAGGTGGAGGGTGGGCAGGAGAGATGGAGGACCCTTCAGTAACAATGAGTACAGCAGTGGACTGGAGTGGGTCAGACAGGATGAGGACGGGACAGGTCTGCTACTCATGGGGTTGCAATGAGTCTTACCCGACAGCACCTACTCAGAGTTGGCCTAGTCGGTAGAGAGTTGCGCTGCCATCCCAAAGGCTGGTTGTTTGAATCCACCAGCTGCTCCATGACAGGAAGATGGACGGTCTCCTCCCACGGGATTTACTGCCTCTGAAAAGTGCTGGAGGGTCAGCTAGGAGTCAGGGTCAACTTCATGAGTTTGCGTTTTCTCATAGAATTAAATTATCAAAGCAAAATAAGTCATAGGATTTCTCTCCTTCCTGATTTTCAGTTCAGTGGGGAAACTTTCAGAGGTACCAACTCTGTTTTCAGAAATAAAGCCATTCTTAAAAGGGAGGCTCACAAGAGCTTGATATTCCTAATAAAAAGCATTCACCTGACATACTTTGGACATGTTGTAAGGAGAGACAGGTCTTTGGAGAGGGACATCATGCTGGGCATAGTGGAGGGACAGCACAGGAGGGGAAGACCCTCTATGAGATGGATTGATTCAGTGACTGGGGTAATGGGGATGGGTGTGTCAGAGACAGTGTGATTGACACAGGACAGAGCAGGGTTTGGGGCTGTTGTACGTAGGGTGTAGGGTCGCTATGAGTTGCAAATGACTTGACGGCACTTAACAACAACAACAAATTCTCTTTAGTAAATTCTCACTAAATTTCCCTTGTATTCTTAATTTATTTGTTTGTTTTCAGAAAACTCAGGGCCAGAGATTAGCCATTTCCCTTCTTAAAAATAAATATCATCTTTTATAATCTGATCTGGAAAATACTGTAGATGATCAGGTAATTCTTAATGCTGGGAATTTTTTTTTTCCTAAAGGAGTTACTTTTACTTAATAGAAAATATCTTCATGATGATTGACTTAAATTTTTCTTTAGGAACATTTCTCAGGTTGTCCTTGGGCTTGCTGTCCCAGTTGTTGTTGTTGTTGTTGGTGGTGGTTTTGTTGTTACCATCACAAACGCATAGCTGACCCTCCACGTTTTCACAGACAGTAAATTGCATGGAAGTTGGTTGCTCATCTTTCTCCTACAGAGCAGCTGGTGGATTCGAGCTGAGTACCTTTGGGTTAACAGCACAGCTTCTTGCCCCTGGGCCACCAGAACTTCCTGCTGTCTCAGTTGTATGTGTCTATCTTAAGTATTCTTCCTTCAGGAAGTAGCAGCCCAAAGAAACCTTCCTGTTCATGTCATTTGCATAGTTCTTCACTTTAACAGTTGACTTAATACTTCGTTATCCCTGTAATTGTTTTTGTGTTTCTTTGTCACTGAATTTGATTAACTCCTAGCAGTGCCAAGTTTCTTTGACTCTGATTAATTCCCAAAGACAAGGTCTGCTAATCTCTGGAAAATTAAGTAAAACGCTTGAACGGTTGGGTTTTTTGAAAGGAGTAAAAACAGCAAAAAACTTTAGATAGCTAGATGGATGTCAGCTCAGTTCGCTTCTGTGGAGTTGGAACCTTGTCATAGCTGAGACTCTTGCCAGGTTTTCGGAGGCTGTGAATTGATTGGGAGGTAATTGGCCATTGTCTGTGGAACCACAGGTGAATTTGAACCACCAGAGGTGCCACCTTGGAGTTTGCAGCACCACGGCCCTGTGTTCTGCACCACCAGTTTGTACAGGTGCACAAAACACACACACACTGCCATTGTGTCGGTTGTGACTCGGGCCGCCACGCGGGGCAGAGTGGAACCTTCACAGGAGCAGACTGCGTCAGGGATCAAACGGCTGACCTTGCGTTGCAACAGCCGTGGATCCTTGTTTAGGTACTGTTGAGTCGGAAGTGATCCGTCCCTGACCCTCCAGTGAATTTTCAGAGGCAGTAAATCGCGCAGGTGCTGGGTTCGAACCACATGCCTTTGGATTAGCAGCACATCTCCTTACAGTGAGGCCACCAGAGTGCCCTTGTACATGTATATATGTGTGTGGCATAAATGGCTCGTGTTGAGCTGTTCAAGATTAGTAGTTTGAGCTCACCCAGTGATGAGGAAGAAAGGCCTGGTGATCCGCTTCTGTTAGAGTACAGACGACCCTCTGCCTGTGAGGTCTGCAGGAGGCAGGTGGAGCTGTTGGCTGCTAACAACATTGTACATGTGTCCACCTACGCGTGTGAGTGACTGATTTCCTGTGTGTGTGTGTGTGTGTGTGTGTAACGTCTTACGATATCCCAAACTCCTATCCGTGTTCTCTTCCCATTGCTATAATTCTGTGATTTTAATGGCCTGAGGAAAAAAAAATATTTCCCCTCTTTCTTTATCAAATGGTGGGATCACCAGGCAGAAAGGAATTTGGTGGTGCAGTGGTGAAGCAGAGAACTCATTTCCTGTCCGGAAGGCCAGTGGTTCGTCCTTCCAGCGGTTTCCAGTGAGAGACCTAGCGGTCTGCTCCCATGGAGATGATGGCCTAGGAATCCTGGAGGCCCTTCTGTCGGTCACGTGGGGTCACTAGGAGTCACTGTCCGCTTGGAACACGATGACAGGGACAGAGGATTACCCAGTGTCTGTGTCTCGTATTCTACATCTCAGCAGTCCCCTGTATTTTCTGTTTTGGTAATTTTCAGAATACGGAAGACTTTCAAGTACCTGATTGAATAAGTGAACTCTCTTTTGGTGATTTTTCTTTCTTTCTTGTGGGTTTTTGCTTTTGGTTTTGCTTTTTTATTTTGGGTAACTAGGCCTTATGAATGGCAAGCAGCTTATGAATACTCTTAAATGCGTTTGATTTGAATCATGATTTGAATTCTTGCAGAAAATGATTAAATATATTTCCTGTTTCTCTCCTTTAGATTGGAATAATTGGTGGAACAGGCCTGGATGACCCAGAAATATTAGAAGGAAGAACTGAAAAATACGTGGATACTCCTTTTGGCAAGGTTAATATCCAGACTTCGTTGGGGACATGTTAGCTTTTTTCCTTGTTCTTTGCAGGCTTGAATTTAAAGTGAAAAATAGAGAATGGTTTGTGTTAACCCGTCAGAGCTGAGGTTCCCGTCAGGAGGGTCAGAAGCCCCGTGCAGGGTGCTGTCAGCTGAGGTCGTCAATGTCCACAGGACACCGGGGGTTTTGCTGTGTTGAGGTCTGAACTGAAGCTTTCCATTTAGTTATTTCTCGAACCAAATACTCATTTCAAACATAGCAACTGTACTTTGTGGCCTCTCCATTCAAATTGTCTTACTTCTCTTTCAGGCCTTTGGATTATATTTGCTAATTTTGGGATTAGGCTGGTGTCTAAAACGAGCCCTAGACTGCCAGTCCAGAGGTCCTCAGGTCAGACCCACCAGCAGCTCTGTGGGAGGAAGACGTGGCCTTGGAAACCCCGTGGGTCGGTTGCATCCTGTGGGGTTGCTGTGTGTTAGAAGTGACTTCGCAGCAGTAGGGTTTTTTCTCATGACTTAAAGGAGGGAATAACATTACAGAGCAGTGTTTTCCTGATGCGTCCTGACCCAGGAGAGGACGGAGTGATTGTCCTGAGGATCAAGGACACAGTCCATTTAAGCGCATGAGTGAGCTGGGAACCATAGAGTTGTCCGTCCCTAATAGAGGCGGCGGATCCTGCATCCCCTGTGTTGTCTGCCTTGACCAGGGAGAGGTGTCTGCCTTCTCCTGCTTCTGTATTACTTCTCCAGTCCAATTGCAGTCCCTCTCACTCTCTGGTGAAGACCCCCACATCTTTACAGCCCAGTCTCTCCTGTTAGCCTGGACTAGCCGTGTGTCCTCCACATCTTGCAGTCAATGTGACCAGCTCGTTAACAACCTGTTTTCTAAACCTCTGTAAATTCTAAGGGCCTTTCTCTCCTCCTGAGTCGTTCCATTGCCATCTTGGACCGGTCTAAGACAGGCGGTCAGATCTGGTGCCCGTTCCTAAGTCCCATGACCAAGGCTTTCTTTCCTTTCCTGCTTTCACTCACACGTCTGCTCTTCAAACCAGCCAAAGACCCTTCACCAGTTAGCAGATCCTTGAGGTACCTGCTTTGCAGAGACCTGACCAAGTGGAACCTCACAGTGACCCACGGCAGGCTTCACGGTCCTGCTTGCTGTTCTTCGGAGGGCTCACTGGTGGCCTGGTGGGTAAGGAGGTGTGCTGCCAACCCAAAGGCAGGCAGTTCAAGTCCACCAGCTGGCCCAAGGGAGAAAGATGGGCAGTCTTCTCCTGTGTGATTTACAGCCTATGAAAACCGGCTGGAGGGTCAGCTAGGGGTTGATTCCAACTCTGCAGCACTGAGTGCAAGTGAATAGAGGTTGCAGAAAGTGTTTATTGAGTGATTTTGACTGATTGTTATGTTTGTGTACTGTCGAGTCGGAACCGACTCCCAGCTGACCCTCTGGTGGGTTTTCAGAGTCAGTTAATCACACAGGAGATTACCAGTCTTCATCGCACAGCACACCTGGTGGCTTCGAACTGCCTGCCTTCTTTATTGCAACATACTTTCTTGCCACTAGGCCACCAGAGCTCCCCTTTTATAGACTGTGGATGTGAACATGTGGAGTCTGTAGGTGGCACATGGTTGAAAGTTTGGCCATTCGGATCAACCCAGAGGCTCTTTGAAGAGAGAGAGAGAGGGGCCTGGCGGTCTCCTGGTGTGCTTCTGAGCTCTCATAACCGTAAGACCCTGTGGGGTCCACCTCTAGGGCTCTAGGGTGGGCTGTGAGTCATGATCTGCTCACCGGCAGCTGGCTTGGTTTGGGGGTTTGAGGGCGGGTATACGTGTACTGTGTGCTTTTAAATCTGTTCATTCAAACCTTTTCTTTTTAATGCACAGCCATCTGATGCCTTAATTTTGGGGAAGATAAAAAATGTTGATTGTGTCCTCCTTGCAAGGTAAGACGTCATGTTTTTCAACTGTTACTAGGAATTTAAATTTACTGTAATTCGTGGAATGAGTAATGACCACAGTTTAATGTGTTGGTGAAATCAGAGCATGTTAATCTCTTTTCTGCACCCCCCCAGGGTTTTGGAATTACACTGACTTTGAGCTCTGGTGACTTAGTCCATAGGGAGTTGCATTGCTAACCAGAGGTGGTGCCTCTGACAGTTCAAATCCACTAGTGGCACCAAGGGAGAAGCAGGGCAGACTCCTGTGTGGTTTGCAGCCTCAGAAGGCCTGCTGAAGGGGCAGCTGTGACTTGACTCCACAGCAAGGAATGGGAGGGTTTTATGATTTTGAGATACCACAGAACTTGCTTCCCTAAGACAGGCCAGCAGGTGCAATGGATGTGACTGAGAGAGAAAGTCTCGTGTCTGTTCAAACTGGAAAAGGAAATGCTTTCTTCAGTTGGGTTTTTTCCCTTGTTTAGATTAACATCATCGTGAAAGCCAATGCTTCATGCATGATCCGTTGTGCGGGGACAGTTGTATATTTAGATGTTGGGGGGCAGGGGAGACCCCTGAAGTGCCCAAGCCCTTAAATTCTTTCAAGTTCTTCATTTAACAGAGATTATTAGATTCTGCTCATAATGCAGTTTCACACTTAAAATGTCCCTCATCTTCTCTTTGGCCTATGATTTTTATTCCCTTAAAATCTCTGCTCTTGAATGAATAAATTTTTTTAAAAAATCTCTGCTATAAATCATTACAGAAGGAGACTACCCATCTTTCTTTCTCAGAACAGATGGTGGATTTGAACCAGTGACCTTTTGATCAGCAGCTCAACACATAAGACTTTGTGCCACCAAAACAGCTAGTGTTTTATTGCTAAGTGACTACAGATTTAACTGGGTGGAACCGTATTTGTGTCTCAGAATTTCTGTGGATCAGGAGTCTGGGCACAGCTTATCCGGGTCTTGGCATTCTCTGCCAAGTTCATATTGCCCTTAGTTCCTTACAGCTGTGAACTTGAGACCCTCGGCACCTATAGGTTGCAGACGATTCCCTGCCAAGTGGGGATTCCCTGCCTCTGTACATGCATTTCCCATCACAAGGGCAGCTTGCATCGTTAGCCTGTGGGCGCATGCGTGCTGCCAGAGGGATCCCAGTCATGCAAGGGCCATCCTAGCACCTTCCTCATATTCCATTGGTTATCAGCAAATCTCAGCTCCACCCACATTCAAGGGGGAGGAGTTTTTAGGGGCTGGATTCAGGGCCACTGCACCTCTGCCACTCTGCTTCTTAGAAATAGAAATAGCTCCTCTCAGTGTCCCATGGACTGCTGAATGGACAAACAAATCGATCTCAGAGGAAGTTCAACCAGGATGCTTCTTAGAGGCAGGGCTGGTGAATCTTCACATCCTTTGGGTGTGTTTCAGGAGGGGAACCTATCCTTGGGAAAAGACATCAGGCTGGGAATGGTGGAGAGTCAGAGAAAGAGAGGAAGACCCTCTATGGGACAGATGACACATAGACTGTAACAATGGGCTGGACCGTATCAGAGCCGGTGAGGTGGGCTCAGCGCAGGACAAGGGTCAGGTCTCCTGTGTGTGGGATCCTGTGAGTCACAGTCGACTCCTAACAACACACTGTTCTGCAGGAAAAGGGTGACATAGACTTCTCTGTAAAGATTTACCCCCTCGGGAGTCCCGGGGGTGCAGGCTGCCCTGTCCCACTCGGACGTGGTGCTTTGGTTTGGAATTCAAACGCTCGTCTCCCTCTTCTGCTCTCCTTCCCGTAGACATGGGAGGCAGCACACCATCATGCCCTCACAAGTCAACTACCAGGCGAACATCTGGGCCCTGAAGGAGGAGGGGTGCACACATGTCATCGTGACCACGGCCTGTGGCTCCTTGAGGGAGGAGATTCAGCCCGGCGACCTCGTCATTATTGATCAGTTCATTGACAGGTGAGTGAGCACTGGACACACTCTGGGCTCTCGTAAGGTCATTCCCTCAATAGTGAAACTGCTTCCCACACTCAGCCACTAACTGGAAAATGGGATTTCATGTTCACTGAGCGGCATCTAGGAAGAAAGGCCTGGAGAACTACGTCCGGAAGAACCTGCCGTGGAAAATCCTGGGGCACAGAGTCCCGCTCCTGCTCTATGGGGTTGCCGTGCGTTAGAGTTAATTCAGCAGCCAGTGATGGGTCTCATCTCTGTTGTTCATCTTAAGGGACCGGGCACAGAGCAGAGGGTGGGGCTTTGCACTAGTTTTCAACTTTTACTCAACAGAGGAAAAATTCCATGAACTCTTTAAATTCCAGATTCTCAGCTTCAACAGGTTATCAATTAACTGTGATCTGTAACTTAAATGGTAATTATGTTAATTAACATATGTTAATTAACATGTCTCAGGGAGCAGGGATCTAGGCATTGAGCTCCTGTCTCATCATGTCACCAAGCTTGTTTTTTCATTTGGTCAGATAAAGGTCCTTGTGGGCCGAATCGTTCATCCTTGGGGCCTCAGGGTTTCCACTGCCTCTTTTTTCTGTTCCTTTCTTTCCTGCAAGGAACTCTCACTTTTCTGCATATCTAGGGATCTTTGTTCCTGTGTGGTTACATCAGTAAGCATCGGTTCATATCCTACAGTTCTTTGAGCTGATAATTAGCCCTGCAGGCCTGATGAGAACCAGGTTGGTTTTTAGGCAAGAATATTTATGCGTCCCACCAGCCTTGTGACATCTGTGTAGCCAGAGGGTGCCATGATTGGTCACTGAATGGGGAGACGTCAACTGGAGCTTGTTGGGAGCCTGAGATTCTCACGTACTCACAGCCCCATCTGGCCTGACAGGTTGCAGAGTTTTCCAAAGCCACATGCAGACTGGAGACCAACTGGATTCAGAGTGCATCTTGCTTCTCTGTGGCTTTGGTTTTTTATATTTTTTTTTAATTTGTGCGTGTGTGTGTGTGTGTGTACACTATCAAATCAGATCTGACTGGTACAGGAGGAGATTGTCCCTCCTTCCCCTGCAGAGCATCTGGTGCATTCGAACCATGCGCCTCTGGAATTGCAGTTCAGCTTCTTGCCACTAGGCCACCAGAGCGCCCTTCTCTGTGACTTTGTATTATTTACTCTTGTCTACCTGGATATCTGTTCTATCTTCCGAATCAAGGGTTCAGTGTTTCCAGCTCTTCCCTGAATGGCTGGTGGGTCATCTTCAGAGGTTGCCCTCCCAACACATGTGCCTGTTTATGTAACTTTGTCAGCACATTATCTTGGGGAAAATATCCTGTCCTCCCAAGGTCACTGGCTTTGTCTTTAAATGGGAAGAAAATGTCAGACATGTAGAGTTGACAGAAACATCTTTAACTTTGAGAGACTAATTCAGAAATAAACATTGACGGAGTAAAACAAAGGTGTTTCAGAGTCACTCTAAAAACTTCAAGACTTTCAGAAGCACAGCCATCTGTCCTTGTTGATTGTAGGAGCCCATCTTATCTCGTAATTGTCTACTCAGAAAGGTCTTGGAGGAAATATCTGGCAATCTGTGTTTGAAAAAATGGTGCCATTGAAAACCTCGGGGCACGTTTTCACTGTGACACATAGGTTGTCACCCATGAGTCAAGTTCGCCCGACAGTACAGTTTGGTTTTGATTTCTTGGTGGCTGAAGTGTTACTTCTTTCTCATTTTCCCCTTATTTGTTAGTAAAAGTGTTGCCTCATGATTTTATTGTATGATAGTGATTTAAAAAAAAAATAATGACCCATATTTAAGGAGGTTTTGCAGGTGTGAATTTTTTTTAATAACTATTAGGAAACACCAATTATAAGTTTGTGGGGTTTTGGTTTGCTTTTTAAAAAAAAAGAAAAGAAAAGAAGGGCAGGGTGTGAATCCTGGTGCCTGCCGAATGTTTTTGTGCTGCGTGGTTGGTGTTAGCCTGTTGTGACTGAAGGCAGCCCTGGCTGAGTACTTATGCTTGAAGGACGCGGTAGGAAAAGTCCTCACGTGGAGAGGTAGGACTTCATCTTTCTTCCTTGCCCCGTACACAGATTGCTCTGTCTCCCAGTCGCCGCCTCTGATAAATGCGGGTGTTGGAACAATTCTGTGGTGTTTTGAAGATGCACACTTACTCATCAGGAAAGTCCCGCTGTAAACATGAAATGGCATTAGGATTAGGTCAGGATAATTTATCTTCTCCTCAAAGAGACAGCCCTGCCTGGGCCGTTCCCAGATGTTGCGGTTAAACGTTCTTCTTTGTTGTTGGGTTAATTGCTGTTGAGTCACCTCGGACTCTTGTCATGGTGAACTCATGCACGGCGGAATGAAGTGGGCCTGGTCCTCAGGACTGGCGCGAGGCTTAGGCCCCTGCCTGTGGCTGTTCTGTTAATCCATCTCCTTGTAGGTTTCCTTCATGTTCGCTGACCCTCTGGCTGTACCAGTACTTTCCTAGCAAGTAATCTTGTGATCCTGATGCAATTGATCCTGAGGCTGTGTCTCAAGTAAACAAGACGCGGTGTGGCCGCCCTCACTTCAGAGTGTCACCTGCACACCCCCTGCAAAGACTGGCTCCTGTGCGGCTGTGCTCTCGGGTCAAGTACCTAGTCAGTCTTTGTCCACCTGCTGATGGAGAGAAGTGGAGATGACAGTCCACGTATGGTCCAGATGACATAGGAAGCCTTTGTTTAGCCTCCTCTCTGGTTCCTGTCAGGAGCTATTTTAAGCCTTCGTGTTCTCTCTCCACTTCCTACCTTCTGCAGTCTTAGCCGAGACTGTTGCCTCCTTAAAGAACACAGCCACCAGTCATAGGGTCACCATCTTCTTTGTCCTCCCTGTACCCCTTAAAATGTGCCCACCTTTCCAGCCACCCTTCTCATGTTGCAGATTTTTTTACTTAAGAATAAGGGTGCATTTTTATAGACACTGTCACAGAGGATGTGCTCATATTGTTCCCTGAGGGAGTAACCAGAGTCATCAGTTGAAGATCTCTGTGTGTGTGTGTGTGTGTGTGTGTGTGTGTGTAGAGTCAAATCGGATCTGACTGGTACAGGAGGAGATTGCTCCTCCTTCTCCAGCGGAGCATCTGGTGGATTTGAACCGTGTACCTCTGAGATTGCAATGCATAAAGAACCATCTTGAGGGACAGGAGAATGTCAAGAAGCTATGAAGTAGATTCATTCAAGTTACACATTTTGACCCTGAGCAGTGTCCTTAATACTAAAGTGAAAATTTCAATGAATAGCTTTATTAGAATTCCAGTTTAAAAGCAACCTACCAGTCAGGGAGTTTTGTCCCCTTCCTGGCTTTTTTTTTTTTTTTGGTAAAATGTAGATCGCTTAACTTCTTTTCCTTTTTAAGTATATGTGTAAGTAGCCTTAATTATGCTCACAATTTTGTGCGGCCATTGCAGCTGTCTATAACTGCAGAGCTTTTCCATCACCTCATAGAGAAACCTTGATCAGGAACTGCCATTCTCCAGTTTCCTTCCCCGCCACACAATCTTTATGTCTGGAAGCGCCCAGTATTCTCACCTTACTTGTCTTAAAATTGCTTCTCTTCACCGTGCCTGTATCCTCCAGCCTTCCACAGTCTGTGTATGTGCGATGACTTTCCCTGGCGTCTGTTTGTGACAGTCTCAGGTCATTTTCTGGTTAGCTTTGAGCAGACGCACATAACAGTGGCATACTTTGAGACCAGCAGATGAAAAAGTATGAAAGCAGATTTGCCAAAAGGGATAGTTAAAATGAATGAAAACACAGTAGGATTTGTAAATTTTCAAATAAAACAAAAAGTTTGAAAAAAGGATAGTGTTGATGAATATTATGCCATTTTAACATGAGGTGCAGGTCGGAGTGACTTATCCAGGGTCACTCGGCGAGTGAGCCTGCCGGGTCAGTTAGTCCCTCAGTCAGCCTCCCCTGGGTCCTGAATTAACAGTGGCGTCCTCTAACCTAGCAAGGAAAATTTACTGGTTGAAGCAAAAGTGGAGGAACAGACCTTCAGCCGCAAGCAGTCGCTACTGTAGAAACCATATCTTAAATCATGGAAGCGTCTGTATTTATTTCCTTTATTACTGTAACAGAGACTGTTAGCACAAATTCAGCAGCGTGTACAACACAAGTCTGTTATCTCACATTTTTGGAGTCTTACATGGAGTCGCACCAGCTCAAATCAAGATGTTTTTTTAAATCAAGTGGAAGAAACTACAGTCAGCATCTGAGCTGAAGGCAGATACTTCAACTTGAGGATTTGTATGTGCTGCTCTGGTGACGTCATCCATGGCGAGTTTACACATCTAACCCAGAGGTGACTCCTTGGGAAGTTCAAAATCCCCAACAACTCTTCTGGAGAAGGATGAGTCCTCTCTTCCACGCAGTTTACAGCCTCCTGGATAAAGGGTCAGCAATGAACTGGGTCCAGCTCGCCCGTGAACGCATGTCAGTATATAGTAGAGCCAGCAGGGGGCGAGATCACCTAAGTATTACTTAGTGTCCTCAAAGTGAAGACCGAGGTCTATACCTTACATTAACTAGTAAGAGGACTTAAGAAGGAAGATAAAATCCGTTTATTAACATGGCTGCTTCCTTACTGGATACATTTCCTTGCCTTTTCCAGCGTGGAGGGCCTTGTCTCTCTTCATGATCCATGACTCCTCCCATTTTCAAAGCCAGCAGTGACAGGTCAAGTTCTCACAACTCATCCCTCAACTCATTACACTTTTCTACTCCCCTCTTCAACGCTTAAAGACTTAGTACAGTAGCATTGGCCTCAGAGATAATCTAGAGTAAGACCTTTATTTTAAGATCAGCCATTTGGTAATATTAATTCCGTTACTTTAGTTCCCCATTGCCGTGTAAAGTTAGTTACCTGCTTGCAGATTGTGAGAATTGGCGTGTGGCTGTATGTGGGAAGCCGTTGTGCTGTGGTCCGCAGCTTGTCACTTCCATAGCCCAGGAGGAGGGAACCACGACCCCTAAACTTCCTGACCCTGGTAGAAGTTGATGTGCGAGAAATGAGATCCTTTTAGTCTGTCTCAGCTAGAATACTTATCTCCTGCCAGCAAATGCAACATGGCTCAAGATAAAATTTACACAGTTGGACCAAGAATAAATTCCAGTTTCGCCTCCTGCTGGTTCCTGTAGCAACCCTGTGTGTTCGTAGTAGAATTCCATTGAGTTTTCAACACTGATATTTCAGAAGCAGTCCTGTCTTCGGAGATGCCTCTGCATAGGTTTGAACTGCCAGTCTTTTGGTCAAGAGTTGAGAACTTAGGTATTTGCATTCTCTGGTCCTCCTCCTGCTTCCTGTTGGAGTCTTTTTTATTAAGTCCTGGTGCTCAAGGTCACTGGTAAGAGACCTCACTGCTTTCTCAGGAAGCTGGCAATCTCTCTGCAGGTCTTGTCTTTGGGCCCATTCTCAAATATTGCTTCTCCGTCGTAGTTCTATGCTCCTGAGCAGGGATCCATCTATATTACAGTTTGCAGGAATACTGTGTGCCGAGAGCTGGATCTATTCCTCATTGATCATCAGGGCAACACTCTGCAGTAAGAATTATCAGCACATTCTTATTTGCATTTTAACATGTAAGATAGATTACTTCAGCGGCATCCAGTGACATAAAGCTGCTTTGCTTGGCAGCCATGTTTTCATAGTCTGAGCCCCTGGATATTACATATGGTGGTTCCTCTGGACGGTTCACCAGAAGTTTGGAGTTTCTCATCCACTCAGAGAACCTTGAAGAAAAGGCCTTGGGGAAAGAACGTCCAGAAAAACAGTGGAAACTGTGGAACACAGTTCTGCACTTAGCACATATGGGGTCACTGTGATTCAGAACCGACCCGTACCGATTACGGGCCGCATGATAAATGGGAGTATTGCTAATGCTGACCTCACGAAGAAGCCGACGTGGATTAGTTCATTTGCTCAAGACCACACAGAGGCGCAGTAATAAGATTCAGATCCAGGCACAGAGGCCGTTTCTTGTCTTTTGTCTTCACCGCCGAGACTCTCGGCTTATGGGTGAGGTTCAGTTCTGTTCACACAGGAGCACCGTCTTGGCTGGACCTGGAGGTACCTGTGGCGTGAACTGGCAGGACGTACGTCTATCCAGGCTTGACCAGGGAGCAGGAGTCTTCTGTCTGCAAGGACTTGACTGGGAGTTACCCCAAGCTCTTTCTGCTGCGGAAGACAGGCCAGTTTCTGGGCGATGGACAGGAAGGGAGACAGGACTTGTTACAGGTGACACGTCTTCATTCTAGAATTTCCCTTGGATGGTGATTTCTTCTTACCTCAGATATGCTCGTAAGCCCATTACTCTCTGTTAGGATTTCAGCATGGGCATCAGTGCTTCTTCTCGTGTACCGTGCATGTGTCTGGAGGTTTATAATGACTTGCTTAGCTTATTAAGCTTTTTGCTGAATCACTTGCTCATTTCATCTTTGTCAGAATCGACTCACAGCTGGCCCTTCAGCAGATTTCCTAGGCTGATAACCAAATGAGGAAAGACTGCCCATCTTTCTCTTTGGAAGCTTTGAGTGGATTCGAACCACCAGAGAGACGTGGCCCTTAGCTTAGCAGCACAACTTCCACCACTCTGCGCCACCAGAGCACTGTGTTTCACTGGATGTGTGGGCACAGATTAGTTAAGGTGAACCACCTCGTGTGTGGGCAGGAGAGTGTAGGGCTCTTGTGTAAGAGGGGAGATGGAGGGCGGTGAAGACGGGGTGTTGCACGTGGCCTTGCTTCATGGAGCTGCTGAAGGCTTCTGCAGCCCTGTTTTCTGACTCACCGGATGCGTGAGGGGATGCTGCTGAGAACTGACTCATTGAAGGCCGAAGCCAAAGCCCGGGTTGAGCGCGACATGGCACCATTTTATTGGTGTGTTTGCAGAAAAGGAAAAGGCCTGTATTTACACAGACAGCAACAGTCATTTGACCTGCTCTTCACCCCTTTGGAGTTGCAGGGGGGTTAACTCGGCCTTTTTCTTCAAGCCAGAGGTCTGGGAGAAGAACAGACAGGGTTCTCCTTCCTCCAGAACACAGGGGCCTTGCCGTTGGTGAGGCGACTTTGCTGCCAGCTCCTGTTCCATGGCATCCTGACGGAGTGGGAGGTGATGGCTTCACGCTGGTAGGAAGCAGTGAGCCAGCTGTGTGCTTTCTCTCTAGACCAGTGAAGCAGTTTCTCGCTGCCACTCCCCCTCCGCCCACCCACAGGAGAGCGCGTCAGATGACATCTTGCCCGCCCTTGTTGGCCTCTTCGCCCCCGCATCTCCTTCCCCAGGACTTTGGCCTTCCTGTCTTAGTCATGGCTTCACATGTAGGACAATTAGAAAGGTGATTTGTTCTGAAAATGTCTGGTGAGAAGGAGTGGGATGGCTTGGCACCGGAACTAACGTTAGCCTCTCTTTTGTGGATTGGAAAATGTTTTATCAGAAAGTTGAACCAAGAGGCTTTGGAATGAATAATAGCAACTTAGAGGGCCACACATATTAAGCCAGGCAGCAGTGAGACAGATGCCAGAGTGTGGGCAGGACAGTGGCGACCTCCTCCAGGGCCTCAGCGGCCTGACCAAACAGCCTGGGGACGGAGAGCAGGAATGGCTGCACGTTAGAAACATGACGGTCAGATGCCAGAGGAAGGACTTTGTCAGGACCCTTAGAGTAACAGTGCACCTGTTAGAAAGAAAGATCATTTTGAGACCCTCAGTGATGATTGCTTATGGCCTAATATTAGATAATAAAGAACGACTACTGTTTTAATTAGGAGTGACAGTCATGCTGTGATTCACATTAATGATACCTCTAAAAGTAGAGTAACAGTGGCAAGCTCTGGTGGCCTGTTGGCAAGAAGCTGCACTGCAATCCCAGAGGTGCACGGTTTGAATCCGCCAGATACTCTGCTGGACAAGGAAAGACAATCCTCTCCTGTACCAGTCAGATCCGATTTGACAGTACACACAAAAAATAATAAAATTTTTTAAAAAGTAGAGTAACAGTAAAGTTTGTAACCATGAGAAATGAACAGATCAGGCAAGTAAGCAAAATTTTGAAAATGATCCAATCTGGATGCTAGGTGTATGGGATTGATTGGCTAATTTATATCTGTGATGACTGCAAGTTTTCTTACTGGTTTCCTAAATGCTTTTCCATTCTTCCCGAACCCAAGGCTGAGTTATAATCACACACAGGTCTGGTCAGTTGTTAGCTTTTCGCTGCCATCTGTTCACAGATAAGTGAAGAGTGAGCCACCACCAGCCCAGAGCCAGAAAAGCCTAGTTCCCTCTCAGTGCTGCTTTTTTTGACCATTTGTGTTCACCTTGTCCAGTGTTGATTCTCAGGATCTCTGGTGACTTGGTGAAAAGGAATCACGTTGCCAACCCAGAAGCACATGGTTCAAATCCACCTGCTGCACCGCAGAAGGAAGATGGGCAGTCTCTTTGCTGTGACTTCCTGCCTCTGGAAACCCAGCGGAGGGTCCCTTAGGAGTGGGTTCCGACTTGATGGTACACAGCAGTTGAGGAGGGAGGATCAGGATGTTGATCTAGATACCGTGGCATCACCAGCAGTGGACCCTGGAGAGCTGCCTACAAACAAGTGGACACTTTTGCTTTTTCTTGTAGGACCACCAAGAGGCCTCAGACCTTCTATGATGGGAGTCATCCCTGCACCAGAGGAGTGTGCCACATCCCAATGGCCGAGCCCTTCTGCCCCAAGACGAGAGAGGTGTGTAGTCTCTGGAAGGTGTACTGAAGCAAAGCACGGCTGTTAGGGTGGCATCAGAGTTCAGTCAGTTGACTGAGCATTTATCCTGCTTCCTCTCTCTAGGGGAAGGTCAGGCAAAGAGCTCTGTGTATTCCTCCCATCATCTTTTAACGCTCGTGTATCTGCCGTTCTGGATCTTGCTCATAGAACCTCTCCGTTTGAGGCTTGAGGAATACCAAGTGCATCTTTCCATTTGGGTTTTCTAACTCCAGGTCTTTGCACATCTCGTTACAACATGATGGGTTTTGTTTTGAGCCGTCCTTTTAAAGTCTTCGACGCTTTGAGTCATCATTTGCTCCATTTGCTAGGGGATTTAAATACCTCTGTATGCTAATCATTGGTGTAAGTTTAGCTTTATGTGTTAAGTAGATGTTTCCTTTTGAAATTCAAGTCTATACATGTGATCTTTTCCCTTTTAGGGGCATTTTCAGGAGAAAAGTCCTGTCCATTTCAAAGTCGGAGCAGCTTTGCTCAAAATAGACTGAGGAGTAAAGTCTGTTTCTGTGAAATCTATCTTGTCCCAACAGAAAACTGATGGGGAATTATGAGTATAGCTGTGGGTGGGAAAATGCTGAGGATACATGCATAACCAATGATATACGCATAACCATTGCAGGTTGGTTGGTTCTCATGCGTAGGGGCTTTAGGGCAGGGCTGACCTGCCCCGTAGGATTTCCAAGCCTGTAAATCTTTACAGACGGGAACTGCGACATCTTTTCTTCAGAGGAACGGCCTGTGGTTTTGGGCAGTGACCCCTCGGCCTCGGCTCTTCAACACCGTGAAGTGTGGCATGTGGGTGAATTTCCAAGAATGCAGTTTTGCTTTCCTTGGGACCAGATTAATTTAGCTGACAGTACTCGAGCCAGCTAAACATTCTGTAAAGAGCTGAGGAAATTCATGGGAGGGCAGTGTAGAAAAATGGAGTTTAAAAGCTTTTAGAAATAACATTTTCTTCTTAATCACTTGAAAAGATTTTAAAAAAACAAACAAAACCTATCCAAAAATTGGATAGAGTAGATGTTGTTATTAATGTTTTACATTTTTAAAATTTAAAATTAATGTTTTACATTTTAAATTTCAGTATTCACGTAATCAGGTGGTAAGGAAATAGAGGTAGGGTGAATTATCACACAGCAAGCAGAGTGTTCAAGAATTGTACCATTTCCTAGTATTTAGGCCTAAATATATATTTATTGAGTTTCATCTCTTTATAGGCCAACAGGTATTTCTGAAAAGTTTCTTAAAAAACAACTTTGTAACAGTGGTCTTGGGTGAGTGAACTGAGCTCTTAAACCAAGAGGCTAAAAAAACAAAACACAAAAGCCCAGAGGTAAGAAAAAGAGTCATTAGAGAACAATAAATACCCTTTTGTAGCGTGCACATGTGTTGCGGTGGCGTGAGCGCCACTTCTGTCCTTTTCAGAGGTGACCCAAAGCGATTAGTGCGTGACTTTTGCCAGTAAAGTGTAACAAGGCTAGTGCCTCGGCTTGTTCCGTTATGATTACTCAGAACGAGAAGATTACATCATCTCTTCTTCAGGCCCACTGCTTTCTTACCCCCGATCGTATTGCTGTTGTCTTACTGTGGCATCATATGCGGTCATCCGTGCGGTCAGCTCAGTGGAGAGCCCTCCGAGGCTCGTGGCTGGCATGCCCACACCTCGAGCCTCCTCTGTGGGTGGCTCCCAGCGACCGTGGCACCTGACTCCAAGGCTGATGCTGAGGAAATCAAGGGACACACCGTGGCTGCTATCTTCCCTCACGCGTCACCACCTGCCTCCAGAATCACTGATACTTAAGTAAAACAAATATCTTGGTTTTTCATGATCTTTAAAAGCAGAACTTAAAATGCTTTTGTGGGGGTGGGGGTAGAGGCTATATTTATACCCTTCAGTAGTTTTCCTGATAAACCCATTCTTTATTTTTCATAGATTAATAAGCACCAAGTAGTACCACCTAGTGTAGATAGTTTCATGGTTCTAAATTTGGCGTTACCAAAGCTTTTGTTAGCATGCCTCTATTGGCAAGAAGCTGCACTGCAGTCCCAAAGGCATGCAGTTCTAATCCACCACCCACTTCACGGAAGGAGGATGGGTAATCCCATCCTGTGCGATTAACTGCCTCTGAAAACCTGCTGTAGGGTCAGCTACAGGTTTATTCCGACTCTGTGGTACAGCAACAACAGGGTGAATTATTTTTCCATTTTCTTCTATGCTTTTACATAGGCAGGCAACGTACTGACCCAGATTGAAGCTTTCTATTGACTTAGAGGCATTTCATTTCATATGGTAGCCCAGGAGACTTTGCCAGTTATTTTGTTAATATGTCCAGAACCTGCCATTAACAACTATGAGGACACCAAATTAGCTTGAATATAGCATTTACAGTGTGCCCAGCATAATTCTGTACTGTGCATATCTGAACTCACATAACCCTTCCAATATCGTTGTTAAACAATATCATTATTCCCATTTTACAGATCAGAAAGCAGTCATACAGAGGTTAAGTGACTTTCCAACCATATATTGAATTTAAAAGACTTCTTGTTAAAAAAATAGAGAATTGGGGGGTTCAGGTAGCTTAATGTAAAGGCTTAAAGGTAATGGCTTTGCCATCCAGTGACACAAGTTTTCCAGCTGCTCCAGGGCAAGAAATAAAAAAATTATTTTTTAATTAAACAGATTGAGAAAAATTAAGTTACTAACCTCAAAATTAGATGTCAGTTGTTAACCAATTCTAAATCAAGTAATTATGCTTCTTAACATTTCTAAAACCCGTACTTGACAAGTCATTAAGTAGATGCCCCAGTAAGTTTCTCTCAAGTTACTAAAAAAAATCAGTATGACCTATTCATTTTCACCATCGGCTCTGAGAGGCAGTAGTTGAAGGAGATTGCAAAGAAATTAGTTTTCTAATCAAAAACAGCGATTAGAGACGTCAGATTTGTTATTAAAGCGCAGTGGGAATGCACCTTCTCAGGAACTTGGAAACAGTTCTCAGAACTTGACTTTGGGGAGATGTGAATGCTGAGATTAGCCTTAGAGGGTAAAGGTCAAGACTCAGATTGTCTGTATTCATTAGCCAGTTAAATGTTTTCCTAAACTAGCTCAGTAGTAAGAAAGAAATGAGATAAAAACAAATGCTTGGGATGTAGTAACAGCTCACCTATACCTGGGAGCGGTGTACAGGAAAATTGGGGAGTGGATGATTGAATAAATGGGAGGGGTCCAGGAATGACCCTCCTCTGGTCTTCCAGGCTCTCTCTCAAGTAGTTCACCCGTTAGGGAAAAGGGAATCTTAAACTGTTGATATGCTTTGATTTTATGGCTTTTTCTTTCAGGTCCTCATAGAGACTGTTAAGAAGCTCGGCCTCCGGTATCACACCAAGGGGACAGTGGTCACAATCGAGGGGCCTCGGTTTAGCTCCCGGGCAGAAAGCTTCATGTTCCGCACTTGGGGGGCCGATGTGATCAATATGACTACGGTTCCAGAGGTGGTCCTGGCTAAGGAGGCTGGGATTTGCTATGCAAGTATCGCCATGGCAACAGATTACGATTGCTGGAAGGAGCACGAAGAAGCGGTAGGTGGATGCTCTTCTGAGCAGCATGGGCTTCTGAATGCTGTGGACACCAGTAAAGAATGTCTCAGCCGTGTGTCCCTGTTATGTCAGTTCCAGAAAGAGCTTTTCTTTAATGTTTTTATGTCCTGGTAAGGAGAGTGAATTGTCGGGTGACAAGCAGAGTGCACACCAGTGCTATCAGAGAGTGTTTATTTGTAAAAAGAAAAATATGTGCTTATTTACATTCAAGTAGAATATTTCTACGAAGTTAACCCCCAGAATGGTAGCATTGGTTCCTTTCAGTGATGAAACAGGTCCTAGTCAGCTTTTTATATACATTACCATTGAATAGTATCAGATACTTCCAGTAACTCTCATTTTGAAAGGTGGAAAGAAAGATCTTCATAGAAAGAAGAGACTTTTATCCAGGGATCAAGAGTGGAAAATACATCGTAAACATAGAGTTGTATTGAGAATCATCTAAGACTTGTGGTTTATTTCAGGGATAAAAGTGTCCTTTGGTCTGTATGTACTTTTCTTGTGCTGTATAACTGTTTATTGTGTTTGTTTTCATAGGGAAAGAACACTTACTACTTGTTTCTTCTTGGTAAAAGGACTCTTTGAATCTGTCATTTAACCTGCTGTTACTGGTATTGTGCTTGGTGTAGCAAGGTGAGGGCATGTCGACAATTCTGTTGACAATGCTGGAGACACACTTAATGCAAAACATTGTGGGAAAGCTGAGGAAATACAAGAAGTGGTGGGTGTGAGAATAGAGTACCAAGCTGGTTGAACAAAGATTCGAGTTCTAGGAAGCCATCCTAGTTAAAGCAGTGGGAAACATGGGTGTGACTGAATAGGGTGAGAATTAGTGGGCAGGACAGAGAAGAGCAGAATTGCGTTACATGAAGACTTTGATGAGGATTTTATACAAGAGGCTGTTACGGATTGAATCTTTCCTCCCCGAAATAAGAGTCCACTTCTGTGGGCCATGATTCTCAGTGGTTTGTCATATGAAGGATATATAACACTTTCACATTTCAGTATATAATTACACTCATGATGCAATAAGCCCTGATCTAATAGAAAACTCTTGAGGTGACACACAGGACCTTGATGTGGTGTGACTTCACATTAGGGGGGATTACAGCACCCTTAAACAGGTCACAGCCCTGATCTAACATAAGGGGAGCTGATATGCAATATGGCCTGAATCACCTTTTTTTTTCCTTACAAAAAAACAAAATGAGAGAGAAGTGAGCTGAGAAAGAGGGATCTCTCTTGCCAAGAAGGGCCAAGAGTTAAACCCTGTCGTTTGGACGCAGGGTCCCAACCCTCAGCACTTTCTTGAAGCAAGAGACACGGAGAAAGCCGCCTTCTAGAGCTGGGACTCTGAATTCTGACATTTAGCTTCTTAAGAAGTTGGAAGAAACCCACAGATATGTAGCAAAAAGATTTCATCAATATTCAGCCGTTTAAGGAAGTAACATAAAACCAAGAATAATAATTTTGAAGGAAGAAGTCTTAGCTGTACTGCAAGCATTATGGAAGAACAAGGCTCTAGGAATTGCTGAGATGTTTTAAACAAAAGATACACCATGCCAGAGCTGTTCACTTGTTTATGCCAAGGAATTTGGAAGATGGCCTCCTGGCCAGCTGACTGGAGGAGAGCCATATTTCTGCCTATTCCAAAGAAAGCTGATCCCACAAAATGAGGATATTACCAGTCAATATCACTGATTCCACATATAAATAAAATTGTGCTAAAGATTATTCAAAAGCAGTTGTAGACACTTCCATGATACATCTTTAAGGATATGAACATGTACGGCTAAGCACAATTGATAACAGTGCATCTAAATTCCAGAATCAATCTCCATAATAGTCTATGTGTTTCCTACTGCCAAAGGG